GACTATATTCATGACTAAAAGAAATGAACGACTGGGCATTATCGGTACTCTGCATGACGGTAGGTGGGGGAAGGATTGTGGATGATAGTGGACACGAAGAAAGAGGGAAATATGGAGACGACGAGTTTTTATGTGCCCATCGACCCCGCGTTCTGTGACGACGTCAAGGAAAGCAGTCACATTCCATTTTCAGACGTGATTTGACCCGTTTTGGCAATAGGTTCTTCTGCTTCGATCCCGCCACACCTCTTGATTGACAGGCATTCACCAAGAACCCCGGTTAATTAGATGGATATAGGAGGTACGACCACTGGTTCATTTTTTCAAAGCGTCGTATGATCCACTAGACCACATCCATCCAACATCCAAAACGCTGCGGAAAGTTGTGTTTCTTGACCTCAGGCAGTCGGTACGATGCTGCCTAGACCATTGATCAATCACAAGATCACAATCAACCTCAAGGGAAGCACAGGAATCAAGGGACCTGAAAGAGACGATCAGATTGGAACAACATATTGTGATTTCTATGCAACAAGTACCGTATGCGCGCGTACCAATCAATCGGCAATGTGCGTTCACACATCTGCAGGAAAGAACCGTGTTGTAGAACGAATCACAACAGTTACGAAGGCTGCGTTCGGATGTAAAAGTCGCAAGATAAGACCTTGGCTATTATCTGAAGCAAGTCAAACAGACGACGACGACATGGCTATGATCTGAAGTGAAGCAAATCCGAGTCAAACATTATAACAGCAACAGGCAGCATCATACAAGAAACTGTAAGATAAGAGTCCTTGACTGTAATCTGAATCAAGCCAAACAGACAACGGCAACAGGTAGCGTTAATACAAAATGACCAGTACAATCCGATCCACCGATAAACGATACCAAGTGCACCATCGCATCATCGATATGTACAACGAATCACAAAGCCTCGTCACATCTGGAAGGATCGATAGCAATGAGATTTGAGCTCAATCAGAGTGTGGAGAACTTACAAGGTCACTGATCATAAACCCTCTTTCTCGCAAGAAGAATAAGGCTTGACAAAGAGAACCGCCTAGTCTGACCCCATCGGCAAATGATATCAAGCGCTTCACTGCGCCGTCGATCTGTACCGCGATTAACTAGACCTCATCGATCGACTCGGGAAAGACTAGTCGCCAAAGGTCTGTAACGCATCTCTAAACCAACTCAAGCGTCAGTCACAAGTCGTTCAGAGGCAAGTATAGCTCACCATATTCTGCGGGTGAAAGACTCCGAACAAGACCAGCAGTCTTTGCAGACAATTCTACAAAGAATCGTGAGACCTCGTCTCTCGATTCTGGGAAGGACCGACACTGGAAGCCTTATCCACACGAACCAACGGTCACCGATCTGGACGGATTCGCAAAGCAGAATGGACGATAAGAAGAACACCAGTCTAGTCTCATCAACAGACGATGTTTAAAATGAGTCTTTGCATTACACTCTGCAAAGAATCATTAAACCTCTTCTGTTGAATCCGAAAAGACTGAAGGCCCTGATAGTCGCCAACGATTCGGAATCCTCAATGACATGAAGACCACCACAATCTGATCCATCAACGCACGATTGTTCAATCTATCATCTCCCTGGAGACGAGATTAAAACCTCATCCATCGATCGACTCTGGGAATGATTGAAATGTGTGAATCCAAAGTCAGCCACCAACTCAGCAAAGGTTTAATATAATCCTGAAAACTCCACCGGAAGGAAGAAGCGGGAGCATGAGAGTGAAAATCCATCAGATACTAACCCTCCCAGGAAAGACCGAACCGAAGACAATTCTATCGATGATCAACAGCACAGGAAGCCACCAATCACCCACACGACAAAAAACAAACCATATGATGTGTACTCGGGAAAACCCGAGTCGAAGTCGAAGCTGCCTGTAACAAAACGCAAGAATAAGTGCCCCATCGGTCAGTAACATCAATAGAAGCTTGAGGCATGAGCCCAAAGCCCAAAGCCCCAAAGAGAAAGCCCACCAATCTCCCCACATCATGATAAAACCACGCACCCTGTTTTCGCGCCCAGTGGCGACTCACGGATCAACACAGCGCACGTCGTGATCGCGAGCCAAACAAGAAACAAGAACACTCGTCCAATAGCACAACGACAACTGTATCAAACGGTAACATGAATTTAGCCTTCGCGCATATCCCCGGTGAGCCAAATCAGAATATCACCAAATGACAGGGTGTGCATACGGGAAGACCCGCCGCCCTTGCAGTAGTAAGAAGGAGATAGGAAATAGGAGCGTGTGTGTCATGGCGGCGAAGTTTGAACAGGTAAACGCTCCGGAAAACCCCGAGCCGACGCGTCTCTACTAAGGTCGGTCACCATCGCCAAACAACAGTAAGAGGACTAGGTACAAGCCCACCAATCACCCCCACGCGAGCAAATCAGAACATAGGATACTCCGGGGAACACCGAATTCGAAGGAAGGCTTCTGACTGTGAACCCCATCGGTCCGACGCTGGCCGTTGCCGCCACCACCGCCGCCACCGCCACCACCACCATCACTGAATGACGACGGCGACACCGCCCCCATTAGAATGCAAACGCCAGCGACGACTAAGCACTAAAGGCAAATACAAGGACAAACACGAATTAGCCTTCATACTATACTTGAGAACTTATCTCCACTGTGAGTCACGGCATCAACGAACTATATCCAAGTCAAGGCAAATCTCACCGACGACCGCCATATAACGGTAAGGTCTTGCCGATATTGATGCCCCCTGACCTAGTAATAGAAAGTAGAAAGTCAGTGTAGCCGTCGGTACGCGGTATCATCTCATCATACAATACATAAACGAAAGGCCCGTTCGTACGCATCATACATAACCTGACGCAGGTAATAGGTAAGGTCACACATAAGGAAAGAAGAAGGTTTTTAAAAAACAAAAACAAAACAAAAAAGCATAAAAGGAAAAACGGAAAACAGCCTGCCAAGGCCATACAGTCCAAATACGCCACATCAGGTGCGGACTATATGATAACGATCACAACTCACACGGATATCAAGAGACTGCGCCTCAGGCCCAAGACTGAATTACCCCGTGTTCCGATTGAATGTTTTGGGTGACGGAGACCTGACTGGCGGCATCTTTGGGATTAGTAACTCATTGTGCGCGGTAAGTCACAAGTCCAAGACTAAAGGCCCAGAATCTAGACCTAGTAACGGGTATCTCACGCACGTTCCGAATAGCTGCGGATCTACAGAGACAATGAAACTGTTCTCGTCAGCGTGGACGGCGCTAACGGGAGACGCTAAGAGAGCCGTCACGGTACACACATACTTTTACATACATCCTTAAACCTCGGAAGACGATTATCAATAATCAAAAATGGCATGATATTGACTGAGGTGTCACGTCAATAGCGGCTGGGTGTACGTCAATGATCGATGCATGGACGGATGGCGCATGGGTGAAGACGAGCTCGACGGAGATGAAGTAGTAAACGCGCATTTAAGATTGGCTTTGGTTTGGAATGAATGATATTGTGAATGTGAAAAGGATTTCAGTGAGATAGGATGGTGGTGGGAACGGCAATGGGAACGGGAAACGGGATGTAGTAATGGGAACGGGAATGGGATGGAATGGGGATGGAACGAGATGAAGATGGCGTTGAACGGGAATGAGATGACGATGGACGGGAAAGAAAGCCTTGCTCCTCATCCTAAGAATCAGCCAATATTTGAAATCCCGGTCCTGCCAGATACAAGACACCGCGAGTGCGTGACAGCCAGAGACAAGCGATAAAAGGTTCAACGTTCTACGAACCCTGGGAAAAGTCGACTCAAACCCAAATGACCCTTGCTCCACCCGCCACTCATCTCACTCATCAGGCCTAGAACCAGGGAAGGCTTGCGACGTGTACGGATTCACAGGCCGGGCCGCCCAGTACGGGCGTTAAAGCAAATGCTTAAAGTTAAGTGACGGTACGCCCGTACCGGACGCGAGAACACGACTCAGGAGGACTCAGCGCGGGGGAAAGTTATAAATGATACCACGGGCGGGAGAACATTTAGCTGAAGGCACGAGCCAGGGAACAGAGGACCTGAGGGCTGTTCACTTGAGCGCATGGGTGCTGATATGAGGATAACCTAACTTGGGTCAACTCAACTCTAACATTGATTTAGTTTTGGAACCCCGGTGGAGAAACACCGTCGGGATGGGCGAGGCCAGGCCCACGAGAATAGCGGAGTTGAGAGTTAATTCTGTGCCGTATACAGTAAGATCCGCGTCAGTTTTGAGGGTGGTATCGAATGGTGTATGTGGAGTGGCGAGTGCTGGAATCAAGCTGGAGTGGAGCAGAGATCATAGAACTGGTCTAGGAGGGCCATACACGTTCATTGCATGCTGGATGTTGTGGAGCGAAAGTTAAATACAATCCAGGCACGAAATGATCGCGGTAAGATGGATGAACTGTACAGCCCAGGAAGATGAGAAAAATAGATTACGATGTTGAGAGTTCAAGGAGTGTGATACAAAGTTGTAACCAAAAGGATTACCGGTAATACTGAGTATGCGATATGAAGGCAGAACACGCACTGTGCCAGTAGATGAATGAGTAATAGGGTCAGGATGACCGCTGGGGATAGCTTTGGATATGTTTTATGGCGGAAATGAAGGGATGAGGAGGAAAGGAAGAGGAGCCGAGAAGTGAACCGAAATGGGAAAAAAGAGAGGGCTGGAGGGTCCGATCGTGATCGCCGTGGATATGCGGCCTCTAAATTGAGCCGGGGCCGGGATAACGGTCTTACGGAGATAATAATTGTTTGTGTGTATGCAAGGTACAAGGGTTTATAAACGTAAGGATGATTATTATTGGTTGAGAAGAAACGGCGTTCATGAACCAGTTCAAAACGGGTTGACAGACGCCCATATGACGAAATGGATCGGAATCCCCGATCTCTGGGTTATCACGGAGATATCAACCTACTTATATTATAATACAATTCCTCTCACACAAAAATCAATATACCCCCCCCCCCCTCATCATGTTCATCCAGTCCTCTTCCCTTTGCAACCTACCACATGAAATATTCGAGAATATCGTCCTAGAACTCATCTCAGACGATGGCCCCATCCTCCCTCTTCTCCAATCTTGCAAACAAATAAATAATATCCTCGGTTTCCCGCAAAATACCCATCTATACTCTCGCATCTTTCGCTATAGATTCAACTCAGCCGCATCAGTCAGACGACTCGGTGCTCGTACTCACCACTCTCGCCATCTTGCTCACCAGTTGGCGTGGTATTCCACGGCCTTAAAATGCATTAGAAGGGGAGATATTTACGATAACGGCGTCCTAGACGCTTTCTGGGCTTCTTTCGCACTCATGTCTGAGAACGACGGAAAGAATCGTCATCTCCTCGAGGCAGCAGGTCTCCCAGATTTCGTAGACGAGTTTGTTCGCAAACGCCTATACGAAGATTGCGCTAACACCAATGGCTGGCCCAACGAATCCTCCATAAACTGTCTTGCGTTATGGTTGCTTTGGTTCACCAGTACAGAGGGCATGTCTTCCTATCTTTCCTCGACGCCTTTCTCACACTAAACCCTCAGAGCGTCTCAAAGCCGAGTCTACTGTCCGACGCAACGAGATAATCAGACTCGTCCTCCCTTTTGTCATCGTTCCCTTTCGCGTAAGCCACTTTCAATCGTCCAAGTATACCTCATAACGCTCCCCTAGTACCCCTCAGCTCATGCCCCCCACAACCACTTCACCATGCCCCTCACAGAAAACTCGAACGGCCACCTCCGTCAATCCGTTATCCCCGCACACGGCACCTTCCCAATCTATCGTGCCGGCAGAGCTCACACAACCCACTTCTACGACCGCACAGACCTCGAAATTGGCATTCCACTCGCTTCCACCGCTGCGAAGTTGATCTTCTTCTCACGTCGCCAAGTAACACCTATCGGAATCCCAATCCATCTCCCACTCACTCGTCAACATGCTTTTCAACTCGGTTTTGGCGACCAAATCGGCCCCACTCAAGAAGACGTCCACGAACTCAACCAACATAAAGTCGTCAAGCACCCTTCTCTTGCCATCACCGACTCTACCCCAACTCCCAGTTCCCAACTCGATGACGACTGGTACCGCCTCACAGACTGCATCTATCCAATGCAAAGATCTTCCCTCAAGAACACGCATTACACCTACGGCTCTGCAACAGGTCTCTGGCAAGGTCGTATATTAGTCCCCACCGATAATGCATTCGCCGCAATCCTCCAGCACGTTCAAATGCCGGAAGAATTCACAGAACAACAGCTCTTCCTGAACGCTTACCCTCTCTTCATGCGCCTTCGTGAATATCACTGCGTGGACCCCCAGGACCCTGCCCCAACTGGTGGGGCGGATGATGGGTTTGATGATGGCATTTCGAACGCTTGGATACCCAGGGGCGTGCATTTACACGAGGATTTGGTGAGTCGCTTTCTTTTCACTAATGTGATACCGATCCTAATACTGATTATCGACCACAGTCCGAAGGCAAACTCAAACTCCAACATCACGATCGCACATACACATACGAAGCTTATCGCCCAGGCATAGCAAATTCTCACGACGAAGCCACTTGTCGCGGATGTCAATACCGCGGGACGTGCAACATCGTTTATAGGGAGCATGATGATCAGTTCTTGGCCGAGCGGTCTCCTCAGGGTGATGAGAGCGATACAGATGCTGATGTTGATGTGGGTGACGACGATGGTCAATTCCTACAAGACGCTTCTACGCGGTACGATTCAGTCATCGACGACATCTTTCGTCAGAAAGATGATGAAGCGATGGACGAAGACTCAGACACCGAACTTGCGTCTGCATCAGACTACGAGAGCGACGAGGAGGAGTATTGTGTGGAGAGGAAATGTAACGGTGTGCTTGATATCGCACTCGTTGGCGAGGTAAGCCTATTCCCAAACCCATCTTCTACCACCTAATTCATCCCTCACAGACCGACTTTCAACATGGCCAGGCGTGGAACCACTACAAATTCTATGGCCGCGTCCGCGAATGGGACGGACTCGTCGCGCTCGTTCGTATCCCTGCACACCAGCACTCACATCCTGCGGTCGGACTCGGATTGTGGGTATTCAGCGGGTATATTGTTGGAGGACAAAATTTCGTGGGGACGTGGCGGGCACTGGGGGAGGTGAACCCCGTTACCCCTACCCTTGAGAGTGCGTTTGCCATGACAAGGAGGGAGGAGGGGTCGTGAGGGGGTGATGCGGAGAGGAGGGTTTGCGATACGTTACCGAGGTTTCCAGGGCCCCTCATACCCCGCATGCCGACAATCCAGGACCCAAGAACCACGACTAAGAAAGCACTCATCAAGACATGACACGCCACGCCACGCCATCCATTGACCTGACCTGTCTGGCACCACAAACCTAACTTTATTCTTTCCCGATGTCCCGCGTTCTATCCCCTCGCCTTGCAGCGCTGTGTATATCAAAGCTCCATCCGAATACGCTGACACACTGTACTATCACCATCAACGACGTCGACTCGCCGCGGGTGTTAGATATACCCTTGCGTTTTTTTTCCCACTTCAATTACTTGCATACATATATACGTACGTACATATCATGGTTCGTCATCATTTCATTTCGTTCCCTCTCGGTTTTGGTTGGTTTTACACATGCCACTATCTCACATGTTGCTTCGCTCGCTGACTGTTTCGTTCACATCGCATTGCTTCCATACATGACTTTGACACTGACTACCGCACTCGCGCACGCACACTTCGAGACTCTTGTACCATTCATTTCCCCTTCTTAATTGTAGTTTACACCTTGTTCATTTAGTACTTCATCAATCAATGTTTTTGTTTTTGTGTTCACGTTGACGGTGGGAGCTTGGGACAGTCTTATCTTATCTACAGCCTGAGCACACGCTTCAGGCCTGCCTCGTCACTCGCTTCTAAACAGTTCACTCGTACCGGTGTTCTAGCTCCATAACGCTGCTATCTACACACGCTGGTCACGGCGTCTTATAAAACTCGGATAGCTTGTCATGCCAGCTACTTCATTAATATTGAGACGTGTATTCAGTCATCAGCCTCAGGCTGTCGCGACTTCGCACCCGACCGGCGTCTAATTAACTCGAAGTTGGACTTGGCCTTTTTACTTATCTCGCATCGGTAAGTGTTGCGCCATCGTTACCATGAGAGTACTAGTACTTACCAGTACTTTGAATTCAAGTTTGACGTCGATGATTATGTATCACGTCACTGCACAGGATCTTCTGCGCCGGCGCTGTCAGCTGCGGCGTATGATCATATGTACCTTGAAACTTGAGCTTGAAGCAAAGCATTGTCCGATTCGGAGGAGAGCCAGAAACCCAAAGCAAATGCTTCTGGTGTCTTTTACTGTGACTGCCCTCGATCCTGGGGAATCCCCAATTAGACCTGACTAAGCTCCAAGGGCATGCCGAGCTGGCATCGATCTCATTGTTGTTTGCTAATAGCCTCATCGTGATCACCGCTAGCTAGGCTGAGTAAGTTACGAACAAGTAGCGTTCCGTCAATTTTGCCTGTCATTCAACGTTTCAGCGCTGATCATCTATTTCTGCTAGGCTCAGTAAGTGACTGGAACGAGTAGCCGCCGTCGCGTTCTTCCTCAAGGTTACTGTGGAAAATCCCTATCCCCATGAGAACTAAGCATGCCGCAAGTAGTGACTACTCAGCGCTCTGCACCCCAGGACTCAGTAAAATGCTACCTGTTGACGTCACATCTCATCTCGTCTTATCTCACGAGTAATATCTAGGGGACTTGGGGACTTTCTCAGGCTTTGCCATTTGGATGCAGAAGAAGTCGAAGCCGTGTCGGAGCTACGATTTTAAGCGCGTTTCTATCATTCGTTCCTTATTCGCCTGCCATGATCCTTGGCCAAATTCCTTGGAACTGCGGTTCATAATGCATAAAGGTACGGCGGTACGGGACGTGGACTGCAGGTTCAAGTTTTATTCCGAACTCGACTTGGAGCCTCGTTGCCAGTTGCGTGCGTGCGTTGATCGGGCCGTGCCATGCGAGTGAACTGCTACTGGTGGGTCGGAACGATGACTTCGAGTTGGAAAAAACTCATGACAGAGACAGACTTGGTCAAAAAAGTTCTTGTGCTGTTTTTGTGCACTGAGATGCGACCCTGAGTTCTGACGGATCTGTCCACCGCCGGCGGACCATCGATCGTGGACCATGCGCACGCCCGTACGTACGGATGTCCTATAGAGGGATGCTGCCATGCGCGCAGCAGATGCTGGCTGTGTATGGTAGTAGACGCGATATCTGCTAATCCTTTCCAGGTATTTGTCTACCGCCGGCCGCCTGTACGTACGTACAGATGCGTGAAATGTGTATGATGGTACTATGACGCCAAGACAGCATACGCGGTACGCTACGATGCGTGTAAAAGATGCTGTGTAGACGGACAAGCCTTGTACTTGCCGTTTCCACTGTATCTTTTGCGCCGTGTCCGCTTGGGTCTGGTGTACTCGTGCGTCTCCGAAGTTCTGTTCGTGCATCCCCTTCTAGTACTCGCGTATCTCATGATATTAACCCATCTTCTTGTAATAGGCCACAAAAGGTACGTATTTACGAGGAATGACGGCACGAGGAGGCTGAACTTTGTAGCAAGCGGCAGAAGATCGATAACATATCACGGTGTCAGTTACGCAAGTATCTTTTACGCGTGCTGGAAGTTTTACTAGCTCCTCTTTCATTAATCCATTGCACTATTAGCGTCACTTCCTGCGATACGCCACACAAGCTAGCGAAATCCGAGGAGAAAGACCGACTTAGTTGAACTAGTATTAGTTCTCTTTCATGGTTGCCAAGCACCACATTTAATCACCTGGGGTATTGAGCTGTGATTATTGCACTTCGACTTCTTCAAAGCTCGGAACGCCACAAAGCTCTCATGGGGCACTTCGACTTCGTTGATGCGTCACCAATTCCATTTGTATATTCGGGCACTAGATGGTCATTGACCCTGCACATGTTTCAAGTCATCCGCGGCCGAAATAAACCGACAGTTTCGACGATGAGCTTCTAAATGTTTCGAGGTGACGATATTTGCTAAAAATATTATATTATGGTGTTCTCATTTGTATCATGATACTCGTGTTTCATTCAACACATACCTCGAGGTTCTCTCTAGAACGCCACGAAGCTCGCCTATGGAGCTCGTTGGAGCTCTTCGCTGAAACATAATCCAATTTGATATTCTCGAGGAACACCAATTGCTGTGCTTGCGTTCCCCGCGTTTATCAAGACCCCCACGACCGACATCACGCGCTTGCTAAAAATACCACATTCTTTATATATTACAAGACTGAATAGATCTGGGGGACCTCCGTCGTCTGTTTCTGGAAACTGAATAAGTATTTCGAAAAACGGCGATCCTTCAAGTCACCTCGCCAAGCACCTGGAATAAAATGAGAGTCTGTAAGTAGGTGCGTGGCAGCTCCTAAACCTCTAGCCGCACACTCATCACCCAATAGCATTTCAACGATGCGAGCCGACTGCTATAGGACCCTAGTGCTGTGACTTATCTTGTGCCACGGCATCAATCAAATATGCAGATGAGGCGTTCTCCTAACCCTCGAGAACAAATGGCAACCATGATCTCCGTCGGCAACTCCCGAAGCAGGTTGGACATGGAGCAACAACACAGCTCGCACTATCATAGGCACTTTGAGAAAAAATGGTAAGTTATGGTATGGCCGGTAGCAGTCGCGGCATTGTCCTTTTCCCGGCCGCCACACGCAGTTGGCCTGCCATCCGCAGAATTCCATAAGTCATTTCTCAGGGGCTCCTTGTTCCCCAGTTGAACACCTCACAAACACTAGCTAAACTTCATTCAGATAAATGCAGCTCACAGCATCTGCCCCCACGCTAGAAGACCAAGCACAACCTGCTGCGCCGACCAAGATAGTCCTCGCTGGGAAATTATTTGATCCATACACGCTCGAACTTCTTGATAATCAAGCTATAACGATATGCAACGACTCTGGAATGATCCTCGATGTTTCACCATTGTCAGCAATCAGTAGTAATTTTGCATCTTTTGATGGGGAAGTAATAGACCTACGGCACTTGACGGTACTACCAGGTTTCGTCGACACTCACGTTCACTGTAAGCGCATCACTTTCATTTCCGGGACCAGCATTCATCTCAGGCTGCCACCTGCTGTCAGTATTCTTACATCCGTACGCGGAGACCTCATGGGTGGACCAGGTTACCAAAGAGAGCATCGTCGAGCGCACCATCAAGGCCACGGTACACGCTAAACGTACCTTGATGGCAGGCTTCACGGCTGTGCGGTGCGTCCATTAGCCGTTCTAGCGTAGTTCTCCGTTTAACGTTGGCGTTCTGTTCCTAGTGATCTAGGTACGGAGGGTGCAGGGGACGCAGATATTGCGCTACGCAAATGTTTATCGAGCCCTGGTGCCCTCATACCCGGCCCGAGATATTTTTGTGTCACGAGGGCAATTGCACCCACGGGAACGTATGGTGCGTATCTTTGCTGGTTTATGTATTTTCATACATGTGCTTTTCCATCTCGCACATATGACTCATCCGAGGGCCTGTCCAGGTCCAAAGAGTTCCCTCTATGTAAACAAAGAAGGTATCGATGATGTCACCGGCGTCGATGTGGCAGATGGAACTCAAGAGTGTATCAAGGCCGTCCGGAGGCAGATTGGCGCGGGGGCTGATTGGATCAAGGTGATCGTCACGTCCCGTCATCATAATTGCGGCAAAGCGCTCATATATACTCGCTCGTTTCCGTTATGATTGCAACGATATACAGATCTATGCAGGTAAATGAATCCTGGTTTGGATTAGATCTGTCGGTCATCTCCGTTGATGCTGTCTTAGACTACGCCGTTCGATCACGGGCTTCTGAAGTCTCGCGCAGGGTTGGGGCTGCGTCCATGGCCACATTCGATTACGATGAGCTGAGGGCAATGATTTGCACTGCCCATGCGTATGGAGTCAAGGTCGCCGCTCATGCAACGAATAGGTCAACCATTATACCTCTGATAAGTCTCGGAGTGGACTCCATTGAGCACGCATATGATATGTTCGCTCCTGATTCAACTGTGGTAGAAATGTTTGAAGAATATGCAGGCCATAAAACCAAATATGTTCCGACCCTCGCGGCATATTATACCATGACCCAGGGGAAAGGAGAGATCTGGGATCGCGCTGCCAATTCTTTCAAGGCAGCTTTAGAACTAGACTTGGACAATATTTCATGCGGGGGCGATACCGGGGTTTTCGCTCATGGGGCCAATGCGTTGGAGCTCTCGCTCATGGTTCGTTTGGGTGCTGATTGGAAGAAGGTGCTAAGATGGGCGACTTTAGGTGGCTGGGAGTGTATACGATCAAGGATGTGGGAAGGCGATGCAGGAAAGACCCGACTCGCCCAGGTAGGTGATCTCAAGGAGGACCCAAGGATTGTTGGTGATAATGAGGTACCGTTTGGGGCGGTGAGAAGAGGGTTTATTGCTGACTTGATTGCAACACCGGGAAACTTTGCGGCAGATTTCGAAGGTGCGGTATCCGCGGAAAGCATACAGTTTGTCATGAAGGGTGGCAAAATCTATAAACGTGACGGTTTACCTCTTGTGTAACAGGTACTTGTACTACATAGCTTTCGCGCTACGCACGACAGTGATTAAGATGGCGAACTCTTCGGGTGACGTTAGAAATGCGTATGCAGTTGACCACACGGCGATCATTTGCAGTGCCACCTGTACGCCCATGTACCAGTAATGTTTAAAAATACAGAATTGGTTAATTTCCGTCGGCCATGTAAGGAGGGTTTCAGTTGGGCGGTGAGTCCTCTGGGCTCGACCGCGATGTGGCAGATTCGGATGAAGTCACTGTAAACTATATATACCTGACTTGAAGACTAGTTGCCGATAGGATAGCCGTGAGATAGCTTTGTCAGCAACTATACAGCTCTTCGGGTTTTCTCTTCAAATTCCCAACACTTTAGTTTCCTTACATACCAACTAGTCCTGCCTCACAAGAAATATTGTCTGAAGCTCCCTCGCGATCGTAGCAAGACGTTCATTCTTGCTCCTCACCAATTTCAGTGCGCGACGTTAAACCAGTTATAACCAACGACACTCGACAACCTCGACAGTCTCCCACAAACAAGTCAAGGCCCCTCGTTTGTATCTCACAGCAGGGGCCTGTTACGTTCGTGGAATATGAAGTTGGTCCGGTCCGCTTGCTGCGAGGCCTCGTTATGAGGTTGAGCAGGTCAACAGGTGGCTGGGTCAGATGCGTCTCTGCAGAGTTGAGGTCGGCGGCTTTTTTTCGTCGAGCTCGTAGTTTTGGGACAGACATTCTTGTAATTATATATTTATCTGCAATTTAGAATTATTGATCTCTCGTACTTGGATTTGGGCTCCCACCAGGAGATGCACAAAACTTGTCGTTATCCTTGTAGGTTGAAATGATTGATCACTCCATGTTGCTCAAGATTGTTCCCGTCATGGTCGATGGCTGCGATATACAGTCAGATTTTCGGAAGGAGTCTTGCTGCGCAATTGCAACAGTAGACTCTCACAACATTGCGAAGGTCTTTGAATTTGTAAGGTCCTTACTTATGCACTCGTTATCTGACTAGACTTTGGTAGCGCACTGCGAGGACTTTCAGACCTGAATGTTTGAATTCCTACTACTGTGTTCCGACAACAACTTCGGTAGTGCAGACGATAGTACCTTGAGCGCTTCACGATTTGCAAAGGTTTACCGTTCAAAAATGTGTATCAAACGGCAGCGGTTACATCGCATCCACAAGCGCACGGTTTGGAATTTCGCTGACGATGAGTTATGTGATCTTTATTTTGTGACTGTTCAACTGGACCACGGTACTGCGGCAACTCTCGTCAAGAGGGATGTAAAGCCTGTGGTTCTAGCGCTCTTCGCCTTCTCTGCGGATTTCGATGTACGTTCATTGTCCAAGCATCTCGATTCCTTCGTTGTGTCGGATACTCCATATCGATTAGGCCAGTGGACTATCATGGATCTGTTCCGTGGCATCGGTCGAACTTGTTTAATTTTCGCTGGGCATACTACACTCATGTCATTTTGTTTTGTTTGCACAGTAGTGGACATAAGATATCACGTACGAGTTATGTACTTTGGAATTACGTTTGGGGTACACGCTGGCGTGCGGAGAACATTAATAGTTGGTTTCGATGATTCGAAGCAGTGCCGTTGACTGAGGTAGGGAACCTCCAAGAGGCAGAGTGCAAGTCGGGTTAGGTTTCGAACTCAGACAAGCGACGGCCCGCCATTTCCTGAACGAGACGACCGAAGCTTCAGCTTTAGCTAATTCAACGTTACTCGCTTAAACGGAAATGCTAACAACTATGGGGGATATGACCATTTGGCGGGACCGAGGAGGTACGGGACAGCCTTTTGCCGCCACGGATAGCTACTATTTCTCTTTTATTTCCTCATTGTCTTCCTCTCCACCTGTTTCCCGATGATTTCTCTCCCCCTTGTAGCCATCGTACTGCTTCCATTTGTTTTTGCTGCTCGCCAACCAGATGGAGGTGTAGTTCATGTTCCAATCACGCGACGAAGTCATTCCAACCGAGTTGCGAACTTACCAAAAGCCGTCGAAGCATTGCGGAAAAAGTATGGTCACCAATTAACGAATGTGAAGAGCACGGATTCGAAGCGAGCAAGCACTGCTGCAATTCCCGTCACGGACGAGGTTCGCAGCTCGATTTTTCATCTACTAGTAACTCACGAATTTGACGTTAGGAAAACGATTCCAGCTACTCAGGTGTTGTGAGCATTGGAACTCCGTAAGTTTCAAGTTCGAAACATAGCAACATTCGTAAATATTTGTTCTGTGAAGACCACAGAACTTCAATCTTATCCTCGATACTGGCTCCTCCGACCTCTGGGTTGCAACAACTTCATGCACCTCCTGTGGATCAGATGTACCCGAATTTAATACTTCGAAGTCGTCAACATACAAGGCTACCTCCTCCCCCCTGGAGATAGATTATGGCTCGGGATCGGCACAAGGTACTGTCGCCCAGGATAGTGTTACCTTCGGATCATTCGAAATGTCCCAGGAATTCCGTATGTTTATCTCGGTGACTTCAAGTTGGGCTGATTCATATCTAACCTTATTTTCATAATAGTTGCTGTTACCAGCGTTACCCCTGGCTTGACCGGCGACGGACTCTCAGGTATCATGGGTCTCGGTTTTACCTCGATTTCTGCCCTCCAGACTACCCCCTTTTGGGAAGCGCTCTATAATGCCAACAATCTCTCTGAACCCTTGTTCTCTTTCTACCTTGAACGATACGTCAACCAAGCTAATCAGATTAGTGCTGCTCCGGGCGGTGTGCTCACTCTCGGGGGAACAAATTCGAGTTTATACAACGGCTCTATCGAGTACCTGGATCTAACTGGTCCGGCATCGTATTGGTTACTCACTGTTAGCTGTCAGCACCGTTATTCTGTCGTGTTGTCATCATGCTTAATGGTAACAAATTCACAGCGGTCACTGTACAAGGCAAGACGATCGCAATTGACCCACTTGGTGGCCTTGCTGCCATCGACACAGGCACTACCCTCATCGGGGCACCCACACCCATTGTCGCAAGTATTTGGGCACAAGTGCCCGGCTCTACAGAGCTTTCTGGTGATTGGCAAGGCTTATATGCATTCCGTCAGTATCTGTGCGCACTGCAGGACGAGCAGAAGACTCATCTATTTCTAGCTTGCGACACCAATGTCACGGTTTATATCTCCTTCGGCGGTACAAACTGGGCGATCAGTCCCCTAGACATGAACCTTGGTACCCTCAACAACACAATGACCGGCAACACAATGACCGGCAACGCGAGCACTACTTCTCAGATGTGTGCTGGTGGTATCTTCGATATTGGCATTGGTAGCGTTCCTAATTGGATCGTCGGCGATACCTTCCTGAAGAATGTGTACTCCGTCTTCCGTGCTAGCCCCCCTGCCGTTGGCTTCGCCCAGCTCGCCAGTGGCTTGAGCTCTTCAACTGGTTCTTCTGACCCGAATCCGGTGCAGGTGACTGGTTTGATACCCCTGCCTACTAGTACCTGCGCGAGCTCGAGTGGAAGCTCGAGCAGCAGCAGCGGCAGCAGTACGAGCTCTGGATCTCCTTCTCAATCTCCTATCAAGATCATTGCTTTACCGCTTTCTCTTCTTGCCTCTGTTGCAGGCTGCTTCATTCTCTTCTTCTAACTAGAGCTCATGCACACTAATTTGAAAATTCATTCACGACGTATAGATCATTCATCTGTCTACTTTTGTAAAACAACATTCATAGCAACTTACCATACACTGTATAGATCATTTATCTTTTTTTCTTCTTCTAACGTACAGTGCACTCATTTTACGACACAATTCTCTGTGTGAATTACGCCTTGACGAAACTTGCAATTTCTCAATCCGACTTTCTGTTTTACACAATGCTTTTAGTATCCTTTCTGAATAGCGAGAAACCATTGATCTGCATTCGATTATGGGCCAAGCTTTTGATAAGCATTGGATCTCCGGCCGCACGATAGCTGGGAGTATATTCAAGAGCGCACTTAACTTCGTTCACAATCCGTGGATTACTGACAGGTGCACCGGAAATGCCACACAATACGCCAACGGTAGTCAGATGTTTTCGATACTGCAGGATCAATCGTAAACCAGACCCACGACTACCACGTCCATCGTAGTTGTCTTGCCGTTATGAGATGATATGCCAGACCACGTTCAAACCAAAGGTACAATGTTGAACATGACCCTCACACAAACCCTAGGAGCGGCCACCTTTCGCTTGGAGGCAACAAACTGGAAAATACAAATTGAATTTGACGTCGGATTTAGGTGTACATATCGTGAAGGTGTACAGTCTCACTGAAATATCGAATTTGGAGTTATTGTCAACGTAGCCATGGCTGGATGCTACACGGGAAGTGGTTAGATGGTCTCAAAAACACTTGAAAAAAAGGGAGAGGACGCACGAAATAGATCATACGCCAATATGCACGAACACTATGCGCTGGTCCAAGGGAATGTCCTTGTCACAAGCCAACAACTGGACCGCTCGGTGCAGCGCCCGGGCAGCTCGCTTGGAATTCATTGTGCCATCCCCGCACATGTTTTTGTAAAACGCCTCGACTAAGCGCTGCACAGTATTATCATTAACCTTCCACAATGTCCCAACGACGCTCTTAACCCCGGCAAATTGCAGGCCAGCCGCTAGATGTATCACTTCATCGGGCGTACTGAAGGCACCGACTGCGGTTTCACAGGCAGAAAGAAATGCAAATGAATGCAGAGAGAGATCCATTTGGGTGATATCGAGGAGGGAAAGCGGTTGGTCGCGCATGAGAAAGGCCGAATTGAAGGGTTCGTCATAATTCTGTGTCCCGTGACACGCGAAATGGAGCCAAGTATTATCCCGCAATGCGTGTAGTGCTCTCGATTTTGTTGCATCAACGCTCGTCACCTTGGTGAAGGAAACCGTTTGGGGCAAAAGACTCCGCACCAATTCCAGCTCAGGTTCCACAGCATCCAAAGTGAATTCGGCCCCGGCTGGGCAATCCTGACCAATGGCGACAAAAGAAACCGACAGCGACTTGTCATGACTTCTGCGAGCCCTCACCAGCGCGGTGAGTGATGGCGTGTATGAAGAAACATATTGCTGTGAAAGGGATTCTCCGTTTGCCCTGTACTCGCCAGCAGCGTGCAACGGCAAGAAATTGAAGAGGGACGTTGGGCACCACCATATCCGGGAACCTCGTCGTGCAAATCCGCCCAGTTTCTCAACCACCGGGCGGACGACGACCTCCCACAACTCCCTTAAACCTTTTATCAGCGCTGGTTGCTTCCCTTTAGGACCGGCATCTTTTTGAACTGCCTCTCGCAGTGCGAGCACCAATCTGGTGAGTTTCTCGAAGTTGGCAGGGAGTTGAATGCTAGTGGGAGGTTGCTGGTGCGGGATGATAATGGCATTACAGGACGATTCGCTTGCGATGAGTACGACGATGGGCCCATCACGAGCTGCATCTTGAAGATTGGAGAACAAGGGGGGAAGTAGGAAGCGAGAGAAGCCATTGATCTTCCGGATCTCTTCTATAGTTCCATTCCAGTCCTGCACCAGACGTCTATACCGGGTTTCTTCTGCTTCTACATTGACTCTTGGGGTGCCTTCCGGGTGGCTTGCAGCAGGTTTATCAAGAAGTGAGCTGAGGTCTCTGAATTTCTTTGTTAGGGCTACTGTATGATCTCCGCGATCCTGAAGGCTATCAAGAGGTGTGCGGAGTCGTGTCATCTGGGTCCAGATGATGGTCCTGCCTTGTTCCAACAACTCAACAGCACGACATACGTCACCGCTATGAAGAGCACACGATGCAGCATCCACGGCGAGCGTACTTGGGAAGTCCTTCAGGGCATTATGACGAGACGATACTGAAGCTGTTGCAGACATGTAAACGTCCAGAAGTTGCATGCAAGTTTCATAAGCCTCCAGTTGAGTATCATGTGAATGTCGATTAGCAAGGCGCACCCAGCGTAGACTTTCTCACAGGCGAGAAAGCAAGCCTCCAGGGATGACGTTTACTGCTGCCTTGAGATATGTCATGGCAGTATTCAGATTATCGGTATCTTCGTCTGAGCTAGTGCTGTCAATTCTTGATTGATCATCATGGAACAACAGATAGATCGTAGCTAGCGAAGCATGGATTTCTAATTGACGAGGATCATGTTCCGTCAACAGAGTCAATGCACAGCGGAGATTCTCTCGTGACTCGGTGAGGTCTTCTCCATTGCGTCGGTGGTGAAAGCGGGTGGAGAGTTGATTCACAAGATTGTGTAATGATGCAGGCCGATTTGTGTGACCCACTGGGCACAAAACTAGTGCTTCCCTGAGAAGGGTGACGGCCTCATCCAAGTCCTTGTCATTGCCTTGCTGCTCAAAGCGGGTGGAGAGTCGAGCTGAAAGATTATTCAGTGACGCAGACCGATTTGCGTGACCGACAGGGCGCAGAGCTAGCGCTTCCCTGTGAAGTACAATGGCGTCATCCAGGTCTTTGTCGTTGCTTCGGTGCTCAAAGCGGGTGGAGAGTCGATTCGCAAGGCTATCTAATGCAATGGATCTATCTGTGTGACCAACTGGGCACAAAGCTAGCTCTTCGTTGTGAAGCGTAATAGCCTCGTCCAAGTCTTCGCTATTGTCTCGGTGGTGAAAGCGCATGGAGAGTTGATTCGCAAGGTTATTTAATGATGCAGGTCTATGTGTGTGACCGACAGGTTGCAGAGCTAGCGCTTCTCTGTAAAGTGAGATAGTCTCATCCAAATCTTCGTCATTGCCTCTGTGGTCAAAGCGAGAGGAAAGTTGAGTCGCAAGGTTATTTAATGCCGCGGACCGATGCGTGTGACCGATGGGGCGCAACGCCAGTGCTTCCCTCTGAAGTACAACAGCCTCGTCCAGGTCTTCATCATTGCCTTGGTGATGATAGCGGGTGGAGAGTGAGACTGCAAGAGTATTCAATGATGAGGACCGATATGTGTGACCGACCGGGCACAAAACTAGCGCTTCCCTGAGAAGTGCAATGGCCTCATCCAAGTCTTGATCATTTCCTCGGTGATGAAAGTGGTCAGAGAGTGCATTCGCAAGGTAAGTCAATGACAAGGGTCGATCTATGTGACTGACAGGGCGTAAAGTTAGCGCGTCCCTGTGGAATGCGATAGCATCATCCAAGTCTTCAACATGGCCTCAGTGACGAAAGCGCATAGATAGTCCATCGGCAAGGGTATTCAATGACATGGACCGATCTGTGTGACCGACAGGACGCAAAGCCAGTGCTTCCCTGTAGAGTGTAATAGCCTCATCTAAGTCTTCATCATTGCCACGGTGCTCAAAGCGAGTGGAGAGTTGATTCGCAAGGTCATTTAATGCCCCAGACCATTGTCTGTAAGCGACCGGGCACAAAGCCAGCGCTTCCCTGTGAAACGAGATAGCCTCGTCCAAGTCTTCGTCATTGCCTCGGTGGTCAAAGCGGGCAGAGAGTCCATTCGCAAGGTTATGTAATGGCACAGACCGGCCTGTGTGACCGACCGGGCACAACGCCAGCGCTTCCCTGTAAAGTGCAATAGTCTCATCCAAATCTTCATCATTGCCTCGGTGTTTAAAGCGGGAGGAGAGTTGAGTGGCAAGGTTATTCAATGGCATGTACCGATCTGCGTGACCAACTGGGTGCAAAGCTAGTGCTTCCCTCTGAAGTGCAATAGCCTCATCCAGGTCTTCAACATGGCCTCGGTGACGAAATCGAGAGAAGAGGCGAGTCGCAAGGTTATTTAATGCCCCGGACCAATGTGTGTGACCGACCGGGCACAAAACTAGCGCTTCCCTGAGAAGTGCAATGGCCTGATCCAAATCTTCGTCGTTGCCTTGGTGATCAAAGCGGGAGGAGAGTGAAACCGCAAGATTATTCAATGTCGAGGACCGATGTGTATGACCGACGGGGCTCAAAGCCAGTGCCTCACTCAGAAGGGGGATAGCCTGATCCAAGTCTTCTCCATTGCCTTGACGCTGGAACCGAGTATGCAGCATTGTACCCAGATTGCATAACAATTGCCCTCGGCAATTATGCATGGCATTGTAGTATCCCAGTGCATTGTAATGGAGGGATATCACTTCATCTAAGGCACGAGAATCATCTATGTGCAAACACTGCTTTGCTCGATCAACAAATTGAGTAGGCGATAACGGAAGCATGGATGCAGCAGGCCGTTCCTGCTCAATATGTTTTGCAGCAGTGTTTCCAGCCGGATGCCGAGCGAATGTCTTGAATGCAAGAAAAGCTGCTCTGTGAATGTGGCTGTCGGCATGGCAGATAAAGAGGACGTCGCTCAGTAACTCTGCAGCCGCATGAGCATCCCCCTCGAATCTCCGTTTCTTGAAGCAAGACAGAAGAACAATGGCAAGATGGAGCTGGGTGACGGGTCGATCTGGATGACCAGTAGGACGTAAATAAAGAGCGTCTTGAAGTAGATTGATAGGTATATCGAGGTCGAGGTATGTTCCGTTAGCTTGGCAATGAATAAACTTGGCGGTGGCTAGATTAAATAGTGCTGCAGGGCGGCATGGATGGTCCTCGGGGCAGAGATCCGAAGCGCGTTCAAAGTGCTTTATGGATTGGTCGAGATCCCCATTGTTCTGCGTCCTGCGGTATCGTGCGAGAAGACGATGTCCGGCATCCGTCTTTAGTGCTAACGCATCCATGTCGCGGGATTTAAGCTACGCGTTACAGCTCTCAGCATCAGAATGCCAGACTGCATTGATCACTCACAGTAGTCAGGGGGCGAACTGCGGTGTCGTTTTCATCAGAAAGTCGCTGTTCCAGTGTCATGAACAGTGAAGTACACGGGGATATGACTTCCCCCTGCTTGGGCTGAAAGACTATGGCTGTGACACCCGTTAAAATCCGTCAAGTATTATCTGCAATGGACAATACTGACGATGCGATTTTTCGCTGCGATCCACTAATTCTCCGACAGAGATCTCGAATGTGCGGAGATCTTCTCCATGACAGAGCATAGGACCCAATTCAAATGACGCATACACGCTGACCCAAACTGTAGAAGATGGCTCGCATGGCCTAGAGCCGTTCTCAATACCTGCAGGAAATATGAGATTATGGATGACTCACAGAAGTATGTGCTCGTTCCATTCGACGACAGCCTGATCTGCGTGTACAGGTTTGTTGGTCGTCTGGTATTCAGTGCCGTCGATCTTTATTACCACATGGAAGCCAGCGGGGATCCGTCGGAGACCAAGAGTGAGATCAGTCGCACGAATGGCTTGGAAATCGTCAATACGTACTGAACGAAGATTGATATCACATACCAGTAATGACGACTCGTTGCACTCCAGTGATGCACATCTCTCCTGTGTTCTGGAGGTGTTCTTGGTGGCTTGGTTCCTCACTAAGTTATATGTCGCACATTGTGAGGGATTTAAACGACAAGTGCTGCATACACTTACTTGCTGACATCCTTTTTTTGCCTGAAAACGCAAGATTAAGTCCATACATGCACTAAGTTACACAACACAATAACTTACGATTGTGAACATTCTGAACCCTTTGATTTGTTGTCATTGTCGTTATCTGACAGCTTACGTTCACGTTTTGTGCCTTCAAAGGGCTCAACACTGGGAGCGGAATTCTCTGCTGGAGGAGTTGGGGAAGTTTTACGCGATAACACTGAAGAAAAGTCTGAATCAGGGTCAGATTCTGGTGAGTTTGAAGACTCGGAGGTGACACCACGGGCCATAATATGGCTGAGGGATGTAACACTTGAGAGTAAGAAGTGTGCTGGAGGTCACGAAACACTGCAGTACCTGTAAAATCCTGAAGGATTATAAAGGAAGGAACCACAGCCTACAACGCTGATGAGTCAACAGGACAGAAGCGACTCGCAGGACATCAAGCCACTGATAGCATGGGCGTCAGATTTGTACAGAAGAGGCACGTTGCAGGGTGCGATTTTGATTAGTAAAGCAGCCGAAATCAGGAGTTGCGAGGAGCAGAGCATTCTACACCAAGCACTTAGCACTCACCATCCTCAGGCCTCCCCACCATGACTGGTAGACAATATGCCATGCGATTGAATGGACACTACTGGCAAGGAGTCGATTATTGTACTTTATAAGTATGTGAAAATGAACATTTGAACGTGCACAAGTCGGATAATGTCCTTTGCAAGTATTGAGTGAGGTTGAGTTAAGACGGACAAGTCCGGTTGGATCATAGTACTATCGTCCTAGGGTACGTAATACGCCTTATCGTGTTCTCGTCTAGATTTTGCATCTCACTCAGTACAAATACCAATGACAAATTGTAGCACTGCATGAACATGTCATTCGATTCTCGTACAAGCAACATTCTCTATGCTGCTAGTGACTCCATTTTCCCTCAGCAGTCGCGGTGCTTGTGTTCCCCGCGTTTATCAAAACCCCCGCGACTGAGTACTCGGACGTGCGTTTGCTAAAAATACGATGATGTTCTGTCGATCTGTTTCTAGAAGTTCCAGAAAACGGTGATCTTCCAAGTCGCCTTGCCAAGAATTCGACATAGTGATCTGCTACCAGCGCCGATCAAGTAAAACAAGCAGTAAGTCCCGGTCAACTGTTCCCGTCCTTTTTTATCATGAACCGAGTCAGAGCTGGAAAAAGTGCAAAGAAGCCTCACAGCAACGAGCTATATCCCCCCAATTTCTTACGACGCCAATCATCGAGGAAGCTATGTCCTCCGATTCTGAAGCCCCTGTGATGCCGGCTACTGAAGAAGCTCAGCTCCCAACTCAACCTAAAAATTTAGCTCCGAAGCAAGAATTTGTGGGCCACGAGAACTATGTTTGGGCTTTTGTCTTCTTGCACGATAATGTCCACATCGTGAGTGGTTCGTGGGACGGCACGATGCGCAAGTGGGACTGCAACACGGGACTTCTGGTTGGGCAACCATGGAAAGGCGACGGGGGTCACATCCATGCACTAGCACTTTCACCAGACGGAAAGAAAATTGCCTGTGGGAGGATAGATGGAAGTGTTCAGCGGTGGGACACCAGTGGAAAGATGTTTGGAGATGTTTGGACGGGTCATAGCCTGGAAGTAAGGTCACTATTGCTGCGTGGCATGTCATTTTCAAATTTAGACGTACTACGTAATGAGTGCCAGCTTGCAGGACTCCAACTACCGATTAATTGTTCACTGCCTCTTGTTATACCGCTGCGCCCCGGAGCTTGCCAGTGTTCACTGTTATCATATACCCGCCAATAGTGGCACTGATGGGTCTCACCAGCACCCGGCGGATCCTCAAGCTCATACTCAAACCTAAGCCTGTCGGTGCTTTCAAGTTGATGTTCATGTACTATAAACCATTTGACCTGAGTATGGTGTAGTCCTTCGAGATAACACCTTCACCTCCAGATCCCCTGTTCAAGCTTCCTCAAGATAGACCTGGTGACGATCAACTAAGGGATACACAACTATTCCACTAACGCGATTCCTATGCTCCAGATATCCTTTGGACCACATCGCCCAACTCGGCGACCAAAAAATCGCAGTCGCACCCCCCAGAGGCATCATTTACGGTAACAAACAATTCTCCATTTTCCCGCCAGACTCGTCTTCAACTAAGTCGTGCATGACCGTTAATGCAGTTTTCTTCCTTGAAGATTGGAGATGAACAAGATTTCAGATTTAATGATATTCTCGCTGATCATCGTTTCCCACTTTTGAGTCGCGTCCGATCAAATGGTTACCCTCAGGCGTGTCTGAAGTCCCATCAGGTACGCATATATCCTGCCCTCTGTCCAAGTTTTGACAACCATCTATGCGCTATGACTCAAGGATAGTGCGGTGAGCTATAAGAATGTGCTATTGCAAAATTCAAGATAACTTTATGCTGTATAGGTAGACGATACAAGTCCTACACCCGCGTCTCGACACAGACTGAGGCGCGTAAAAACCCGATTTTCCTCCAAGGTGAGTCGATCTTCGGCAGCGTTCGGAGCGCGAACGTTGAATACCCGCTAAGAGCCCCAAGCAGTCTTCTGGCAGCATTCCGTTTCAATCACCACCTCAACTCCCTGAAACTATCTTGAATCCATACCAACCGGTACGTTAATGTGCCGGTCAATGACTATGCCTGACCATCTTGGTCGCAGGAGACAGTGTTCAAGCATTCGAACAAGGATCTCTCTCCTATCACCGAAGACAGAGAAACTTTTGCGAGCCCTGGTTCTCTCTCCACGATGTTCGATAGCCCTATGGGGCCGTTTACTGTCTTTGCTTCGCGAAGCATCGGAAAGTTATCTACAGAGAGTACCACCAATGTTCCCGTCGAGACCTCCCACCACTTCACATCTCAAGAGTATGAATTCCCGTTCCTTATCCTTGTCCTCACTAATGCCAAGTATCGTACTACGTAATGATCAGGCCATCATTCTCCTCAGGACAGCGAGGGATCTATTCTGCTCGATCATCTCCCAAGCTGAATTCTTCTGATCATTCCACGTCAACTGCGCAGTGGTCTCCTGTTTCCCCTCTGGTTTTCGCTGATATGTCTTCCTTCCCGGGACAACCACCGAATACTGATGTGAGCCACGATCTTGACCTCTCATATTTTCCCGCGTGCAAATGCAATACGATCATCACGTTCGGCTCTTGCGCACATAGGTCCTCTAATATATCTGCAGCTGTGACCGAAAAGGGAGGGAAAAGACTTGGGCTAGATGCATTAGAGGCACAACTTTCCAATACGGATCCGGCCAGAAATGTCGACTCCCGTCCCTGTACTTCTGGAATTTCGACAGCGAACTCTATTGAAGCGCCAATCATCGACACTGTTCCATCCAGACCTAGCGCTCCTCGGGCATCACCATCAAAACGAATATGGTCAAGGCTGCGGCATGCTGTAATAGGGACGTTTTCGAAGAGGAGTGACGTAGCGGGCGTTAAAGATTCAGGCGGTCGCGAACAAGGTCCTCGTGCTACTCATAGGATGTTCGCGTCACTTCTCGTTGCCGAAGCAAGTTCCGTCCGTGATCAAGACACGACCAGGCAGAGCAGGCGGCTTACCAAACCAGCACATCCAGCGACTGCTTCTGTCGTCCTTGACTCCAAGCACAGTGTTTCTTCACCACAGAAGCGTATCTCCAAGCGTTCGCACCCATCGAATCGTGCAGACATCAACTTTGCAACTATTTTCTCGCCTTCGTTTGTACATCCGGCGTAATTCCTAGGCCGTGCCAGTGAGAATCACCTTCACGATTGTGTCATCACCCTGTAGCCAAAGCCTCCCGCATAATATATTCCAGTCTATTCTTATTGCAACGGCTTTTGTATTTTGATTCCATCGTGAACACTCGATGTGCACGCATGACTTGAATGTATAACAGAGTTAGCTCTAGTGAAATTTCATGTGCTGAGAAGCTCTCGTAACTCAGCCCCTCAAACGCGTCAGTCACGTGCATGCAGTTGTCAACACGCGTTCTCGGAAAGGGTCCAGGTTTTGGTTAAGCGACGACTTGAAGACAGATGGCGAACATGCGCCGTGTACAGAGTGTGCGCAACTACGGAAAAACACCTCTTGTACTACCTGCAGATGATCTCGGCATTCTTCGTGAGGGGGACGAACCTTGTATCGAAGATGTATTGCGACGGCAACTCCTAGACAAAGATCGCGAGAATGACAAGGTCAGCTTAATTGATCATGGACGACGATCTGTGCAGCTGACTGTGACTTATTTAAGCTTCAATCGACGATATTGACGCTACAGCAACAACTTACTTTGAGGCCACCCATAGAAAGGATCCAGGAGCTAGAGAAGGAATACAAAAATCTGGATCTGATTCTACAGGGAACTCAGAGAGAGAACGAAAGGTGCATGGCAGAACTGGACAGGTGCGTACACATGCATGTGTCTATCATTCACTCCAGACAGTACGTTGTCGTAGGGTAAAGACAAGGGAGAAAATGTTAGAGCAAGCTCTGGCCAAATTCGCCGGCGAGAATTGGCAGGTACGCACTCCTGCTAAACATGATGAATCGTATATATCTGATATGCTCTCAGAGTGCGCTCGACATCGCGCCACCTTCATCAACATTCGCAGCTCGTTCTGTCATGGGGTCCGTCTTCGCTCGAGGGACGCCGACACCTCAGTTTGGCAATCCTGACCTGTCTACCTCTGCGCCTGTCTCTCAAGCGGTGGTTGAAACTACGTTAACGCAGGTGGAACAGATTCGCCTCCTCGTCCTCGGCATGGAGCAGCGCTTGCAGACCAGGGAGGAGAAACTCGCAAAGACGATCGAGCATGCTGGAGCGCAAGAAATAAAGTGCGATGCGCTGAAGAAGGAGGTGATGGCCACAAAAGTGGCTGCCTGACATGATCTACGTTGCGTGTTTTTTTTGTGATACCTTTCTTTTCTTTTTCCCTTTGCATGTTTGTACCATAGGACTCGGAGCATCATTCCCGCATATCCATCTGTATGTTTTACCACCCAGTCTCTATACATGGAATTATTGGTTTGCATGATCTTGCCTGACGATCCCCTTTTGAAAAATTTAGAGTTATGCTGACGTGGCGACCCTTATCGTCGTTCGCGTATTACAAGATCCAATCCCAAAGATCCTGAAAACATTTTTTGAGTGATGGAGATCTCACTGAACATGTTGGTCTCATGACTGTCTACAGCCGCTTCAAGAATCAAGCATATATTATTTTCAAGGACGGTCCATGTCCCCAAAATACAGGGTCATCGGCCTCGTCGCATTCATAACAAGTGCGTGTTAAAGCGAGCAAAAGTCCTTTAATTTAAAGCTTAAAGAGACTTGCAACTTTATTTCATGCAATTGTTCTGTATTCGGAGGGGTTATCGCAGACACCTGACATTTGGATACTCTGGCTTCCCATCCCTGTCAAGCAAGAAAGGTGATCAGACTATCATGGGACGCTCGCCTGCTGAGTCGAGTTGGATGATCCCTGTGACATCATTACAGGGATGGGCAGTCGTGTAACTTACTGGAATCACTCGCTGGTATGTGGTCACGCGCTGCAATTTAAACCTGTTGAACTTACCGATTTTTTGAAGAAAAATAAATTGTTTAAACTTTGTTGTTTTGGAACCGATCCCAATCGGCACGAGGGACCACAACGCTAATCGACTCTCCATTGCCACATTACCAAAAATTGGCTACGACAAGACTAGTGAATGGTTATTGAAACCAAGAACTCTAGAGGTGCGCCTTTTTTATGAACCCGAGTTATTTTCTTGCTCCAGCGATATCTGTATATCGGCATTTATCTGACAACCGGTTTAGTTCTTTCTCACTGAGTCGGCCCAAGTATCCGCCAGATTGTACACACAGGTATGATGCGCTTGACTGCGCCCCTTTCGCTGTACGTTACTAAATTTCAAACCTGAATATATTTTTTCTGACAAAGTCCCTATCTACTTATCTCCGAATGGAATCGGGCGCCCCGACATGTTTACTGGTCGACCGAAGAGACTGCTCTTTTGGTCGTTGAATCTGGGAAGACCATTACGCATCATATCTTCTAACCTACTGTTATAACGCGCCAGAAGCCATGATCCCTGGCCGAGGCGCTACGATGTTTAGGGGTTTTCCCGTTAACCTGGTGTATCAAACCCACATGATCTTTTGCAGGGAAGGTTTTAATCGATGACGTTGTCAACTTAAACGCGGAAAACATACAACCAAAGTTATGAACCCCATCATTATCGGGTGCGCCCCACCGCAGGAACTGTCTACAAAACACTGAAACTAGTGTTTATTTGAACTCTGATGTACGTCTGGTTCACATGCCATTCGTTCACGGCATATTGCACTGATAGCAAAGATAGACGACAAATATCGACTTTTTTAAGTTATTTGTCGCATGGTTCAGTGGCATCCAGAGATCAAGCGACTGTAAGAAGACTGCCTTGATGCGCCGCTGTACTGCACTGCCTCTCCGTTTTTATGAACGAGTTGATAAAGGCGACGGGATTCCACGGGTTTCGTGTGTGAGACCCAAGGAGGAACGTTTATAAGTTTCGGTCCGCACTCGGCCATGAAGATGTAACACAACGACATTCTTATCTATGCCTAGTTGCTATAGCTGGGTATGTCGGAATGCTAGTGAGGCCTGGTGTGGTATCGCAGTGACAAGCACAGAAGAATGAATTGTTTTTGGAAGCGATGATCGTTGGTTGAACTGACTACAGAGTCTGTTGTGGAGTCGTGCTACTGTTGGCTGGAGTACTGTTGCCAAAGGAGCCGTCGGAAGCCGGGCGTGATCGTTTTCTGGCAGATTTGATAATTTAGCGCTCAAAATGATAAGAGCAAAGATACTTGTGTTCGATATTCACGTTCAGCAGTGACTATTATTCCCCGAATGCCGAGCGAGCGTATTACAGAAGAATCCTCTCTTTCGGCGTGAGCTAGTACGGCGATCACAGATGTCCTTGCGCTAGACGGAGGACAGACGGACGTACCTGAGGATCGTGATGTGGTCATAGAACGAGCATCTAGACATGACTTATCTACGGGAAAGTCAAAACTTATCTGCGCGCCACTATATGTAATTGAAATTTACCTTCCGGTCGAGCGGAGCTGGATTATCTATGGGACGTGGCAAGAGAAGGTTGTTCCAGAGCATTCACCTTGTACAAGATTGCCAAAACTGTTCGTCATCAAGCTGAGAGCACACCCAGACAAAAATTTCAATGATGAGGGGGTTTCCCAACCCAGAGATAAGGGTGCACGAAATTCATATAGCTCGGAAGGGCAGAAAAGTGACATATACTGTTAAATATGTTCAGCTGGAATTACTACGCGGAGGAACGGTTATACCCCCGGAAGGCCATGCTCCCTTTGTGCAGTGCGAGTGCAGTTGACCTGATGGTAACATGCGGATCGGAGGAGGAGGTGATCGGTGAATAAACTTGTTGGGGGGAGTCAGGATTCTTGCATCAGCCACTGCTGCGTACTATGTAGATCAACTAGGCCCCGTGCTCAAGTTCCTTACATGTCAGGATATATTGAATACGAGATGGGAATTCGTGCTCAAAGAAAATCCACGCCTAATTGAATCTACACCTAAATTGGCAAATCCGACCTTTGAACTTTGTTATAGTTATTGCCAAGCAAATTTACTCGGGTTGAGTCAACCTGGGAATCATAAGATTTATACATAAGCAACCAAAGACCCCAAAATCAAGTACGTAACAACATCAATCCCAGGAGCACTTTCCCAATTTTCCCGCAATTCAGACACACAACACGACCTTGACGATCGCGACAACGGCAACCACTACTCATCCACGAACGGCTCTCCGCCATGAGCGAACAAACAGTGTACCCAGCTACAAAGCTGGGTGAATACACAGTCATACAGGATATCGCGGAGGGGACATTTGGCAAAGTCAAAAGTACATCTTACAATTTTGCTCGATCTTTGCCCTCGATCGACTAACGCATGTTCTGCAGTGGCTACCCACACCATAACAGGCCAGAAAGTCGCAATGAAGTACATATCCAAGGCAGTCATCCATATGACCAAGACCAAGACTCGTGTCCAGAGGGAAGTGGAGTACATGCGAACCCTGCGCCATCCACATATCATCAAGCTGTAGGTCCTTCAAACACTTCTCACTGTCTCATCTTATGATTTTTTACAGCTACGAAGTCATCTCGACCCCTACAGATATCATCATCGTTCTCGAGTACGCCGGTGGCGAGCTATTCAACTACATCGTAGCTAACGGACGCATGCCGGAGCCTCGAGCCCGGAGGTTCTTTCAGCAACTCATCTCTGGCATAGAGTACAGCCACAAGCTCAAAATCGTCCACCGAGATCTCAAGCCAGAGAACGTACTTCTTGATGATGATCTCAACGTCAAAATTGCGGACTTTGGGCTTTCCAACGAGATCAAGGATGGTGATTTCCTTAAGACGAGCTGTGGTAGTCCCAATTATGCAGCCCCAGAAGTGATCCGAGGAGGGCTTTACACCGGCCCAGAGATCGACGTTTGGAGCTGTGGAGTAATCTTATATGTCATGCTATGTGGAAGGCTACCTTTCGAAGACGATGATGTTCAAACCCTCTTCACCAAAATTAGCCGTACGTCTTTTCCCTTCTACTTGTAGCCTTCCGCCTGAGAATGTACGTACTGATGTCCTACAGAGGGTTCTTACCATATGCCGTCTTATCTTGGTGCTGATGCCCGCGGACTGATTAACCACATGCTCGCCATCGACCCTGTAAAACGTATAACCATCCCAGAAATAACGCAGCACCCATTCTTCAGGACTGACATTCCCCGCTACCTAACTCCTCTCCCTCCACCCCCTGGTCCTGTGCTTGGCACGCTATCGTCCCTTGTCACACAGCCCAAGGTACTCGACTTTGAGATTATTGACGGTCTTGGACGCATTGAGGAGGATGTAATCGACGAACTGGCAACCCGCATGGAAGGCGTGGACAAGGAAGATATTTGGGAATGTCTGAGGCGGGATGACGGTGTTCAAGGGAACGCGGTCAAGGTGGCATACATGCTTCTACGGGACAAACGCCGTGCTGGCCGTGATTGTAGGTATCTTCATCATCTATATAGCTAATGTTCACAGCACTGGTTGACTGATCACCTTCCAAGTGGCAGAGTTTGAGGAACAAGAACGAGATGCCCAGCTCGCAGCGATGGATGTGAGTACCGAGACTCGTAGTCTCGCGCCTGTATTGATAATCCCCCAGCCCCGGAATGCGCTCTCACCCAATGCTCTCTCACCCTCGGGTGATCTTGAAGACAATCCCTTCGAAGCCGAATTCAACGCTGAATATGACAATGGCGAAGAAGACGACGACGAAATCGACGATGGACTTGATTTTTCCACTCCTCCGATAGATGGTGAATACGGTGAACGCGACCTCAACACATTTGCTGTGCTCAACTCTTCGCTGCCCCTCCCCGACCAGCTACCTGAACAGCACCACCTTGCATCATATGCAAATGCCAAACGCGCATGGCCTATTAAAGAAAAGAAGCAACACCGGACAAAGTGGCACTTCGGGATTCGCAGCAGAAGTCCGCCCATGGAAGTCATGCTGGAGATCTATCGAACGCTCAAGGCGCTCGGAATGGAGTGGAAGGAGAAGAGGAACCTAGGTGGTTTGGGAGGTGTTAAGTCCCGGCCAAGGAGCGGCACGGAAGGGAGCGCAAAGATTGAACGCGCGAGGGAGATGGATGGGTGCGATTCAGTAGATTTGCGTGTGGCTGCAAGCGTCTACTTTGTAGAGACCCGAGCCAGAGTCCAAGACGTTGTGGTACGCACACCTATATCTCCTGCTGAGAATTATGATGCAGCTGACGCATTACCAGGTC